AATATTTGAGTGGCTTTAGAGGCTACCCTAACAACTGGTGAAATGACTGATCAGGTTTCGGTGATTCGTTTGGGAAAGTACTTTTGCATGGAATAAAGGAATGTTGTAATTGCCTGTCTCATCAGTTGCTAGGGTGGTCGTTCGAGGTATCTGGAAAATGTTTGGTGGGAGGTTTAAGCAGGTTGCCTCATTGTGTTTGTGTAATTTTGCACCACATCAAGTGAAAGACTCAGTGAAAGAGGCTGAAGATACTGACACATTCAACAAATAACAGTGTGGATGGATACTCACTCATCTCAAACTACTAAATTATTTGACGCCATCCACTTTCAGTGCTGCACGCGAGAAATAACACATTTCAATGATGAGTAGCAAACAATGAGATCGAACCTAGTAACAACGATTTAGATGATCAGTTAGGTGACTTGATTGACTCGAAAGCTAAATTTCGATTGAGAATGAAGTAGTTTCATTGATTATTTCAACAGTTGATAGTTGATATAGTGATAGTGGTGTTTAGAATGACTTAGCAACCACACGTATCGAGCAAATGATTGTTTGAATCATGTTTGACTACTGCACACTTTTTGCGATGAGGAAAGAGAGTGTAATGATTGGGGTTAGCAACTGTGAAAGAAACTTTTTCTACTGATAAATATTCAGAGTACACAATATGTAGTTGCTGTGGTGACGTTTATAGTTAGCGTATAGTGTAGGTGGTACATGGAGGTTGTGAACAAGATGCTTTTTTGGCCTAGATTTATGCAACCTTACAAGATGACTAGTGATATTGAATGTTGTGTGTATGAATTAAGAGATGGATATAGATTAAATGATCTGTTGGAGTGAGTTTAAATGCAATCGAGCATTTTGCGGTAGAAGTATCTTCTTAGTCTCAGACATTACGAAAGAGGCATCATGGATACCACTGTTGGCCACTACCGATCATTGATTTTTCGGTTATTCTTTTACCGTCTAATCTTGAAATAATCCATCAGTCTATGAAATACTTGCAAATTTCATGTTTCATTTCGACATTTCATACATTTTATCAGTGGTACAACTGCCTCAACTGTTGTGTCAGTTTTTTCCGTTCGAAACCCTTCATCTAAAATTACTGTCCACAGACTCTGAACACCACGACTTTTACGGATGAATTCAGATTGATTTGTGAACGAGTTTAATGGCTATTCAGTATTTAGATTCTTTTAATATACTCATGAAACTTGTCGATTACGATGTGTAGTATCCGACTGGTCATGTTCTTTATTACTTGACTGTTCAACCTTTTCTCTGATGAATAAATCTGATGGCACCAATTAAAGCGTTATCTGCTACGAAAATTAACAAAAAATGTCATATGAGACAGTAAACTTGAAAGGTAATTCCACAGAACAAAATTGTTAGTTTTAAAAGTTAGCAGAGACTTCAGGTCAAATTATATTTCTTCATAATAGGGAGAAAATACTTTTTTCATTGAAATTTAGAAGGAGACCCACTTTCAGTGTACAAAAAATCATCCAAGGAACAGTACTTCTTTCAATTTTATTTTGCTTGCCTTTTTATATATTTTAAAGCACTAGTTGAACAGCTGCCTACCTCTATACTGAAGATCAGATGGCCAGAATAATAAGAATAAGCAAGAAGGAACTCATTCTGGCCTACCAACGAAGCAACCGACTAAGAATGTATCGGCCAATAAATATGAGGAAGAAGAAAGTGGAGATGGATTGTATTGTATTGGACATGGACTCAGAAGATGGTTTGGGGACATCACGCGTCAGGCCAGGCCCGGCAAGGCCAGATCGTCTAGTGGAAGCTGAATGGGAAACGACGAGTTGGGCGCTCGAGCCAAGGGTGACATGGAGGAGATCGTGTGAGGAAGGAATGGAAGCTGATGGGCAGTGCTAGGGCCAGGTCGAAAAGACTGAAGAGAAGAGAGTGAAATGGCGATGTGCTACTGAAGCCCTATTTTCCACTAGGAACCCAAGAGACAAATATTAATAATAATGATGATAATAATAATAGTTGAATGACTACTGTCATCTACCAACATGATCTCTTCACGGTGAAAAGTAAGGCTGTTAAGTTTGAAAAATGATGAATTTCCTCACTAAATTACATTAGGTGTGTTGCTGAATCATGTCATCACTTCTGTTAGGGGAACTACTGGCAGACTGTTGGAAAATTTCACTGATTTTACTGTGATAGATAGATGAATGGGATAAAAACCTGTTGGTCCAGTGGAATACAACATGTGTCCAATTTTTCCAAGTAGAAATCAGTCACACTTAATATTTAGATATTCGTCGACTTTGGTAGTCTGAATAGTGTTTATCATTTGGCCATATGGTGAGAGCAATTCACAGTGTCGGTTTCGTCCTGTTTGGGACTCATCATCTGGACATATCTTCATCCCAGTGTGTGGTGCTATCCTCATTGAGACTGGAACAGTACACCCATCGTTTCAAATGTCACAGCGATATTCACTAGGTCATTGGATCACCAGTGCTACTTCCTCTGCAATGAGTTTCATTTCTCATTGGTTGACATTTGTAATTTCCCGCTGATTATTCCACTGACAACCATTATCAAACGAGTAGTTGAACAATGTTTTGACTTTACCAATGAATATTTATGATCATTTCACATATTCATTTGTTCAACAGACACCTTCTTAACAAGATAACAAATAATTCAACTTCGAGGTTTGCGGGGATTTATTCGTTGATTTTAAGTTGGTTTTCATCACGGACTGACACCAGTTGAGGAACTATTGAAAACCTGTGACCACTGGATAGTTGTTTGGTCCCAGTATGGGACTCTTCATCGGTGCTCGCTCATCATCCCACAATGGAGCGTACCCAGGAACTTCATGTCTCTCGACCACCACACTTCTATTGAGCCACTGGGTTGGAGTCCAACAGTCCGCATATTCTACTTCTTTTAGTTCAAGACAGCGCGAACCTCCAGATCGAATTCCTGTCCAATGGCTAACCTCGAGGTACAATCCCTAAGTTCATAATGAGAATTCGTTGCTGGTAGGGTAGACCAAGTTGAACATGAAGACAGGTACTTAAGAACGGCATTGGATGGATGTCGTGCTGCTCATAGGTCATTTAGATCACAGTTTGGTAATACAAAGGATCAGGTATAGTGGTGGACCCATATTTAACTTCAATCTTTGCATTAAAGTTGATGAAATGTTGTCATTTTTAAAAATATCTCACAGACTACTGATGCACCTTCTCCAGACACCAGGAAGACAATGGGATGTTCAACATCAGTGTTAAATATAGCAAAGTATAGAATATGGAATACTTACTTCATTGGCTCAAAGGGTTGGTAATAACATCCCGACTGTAACACTGGCCACCATCGATTCAAGTCTCTGAAGGAACATAGTTCCCCTCAGACTAGTAGATGAGCTTAGGCATTGAGTGACAACAAGCACAGAATCTTGTAGAGTCAAGCAGAGTTACTCCCCAACCACCCCCAACAACTTTATCTGAAATACACTTCGTCGCCAGATGACCGAATTATTAGAATCTGGTCAACTCCAAAGATTCCTAAATGTTTGTACTCAAACATTACGAGTCATGTACCCTTTATATGTCGACTAATTAATCACATTGTGTCAATATGACATTTTTCTAATTAGTAGTATTTATTATTTCTCATTTCCCAGTGATTGACAGTCATTCTTCCAATTCATTTCTTCACATTATTTACACTCTAAAATGTAAAGTGTTATCTTTAGAAGGAAGTTTGAGATACGGTATGTATTTTCAGAATCCACTATCTCATCCCTATATCCTCTGAAGACATTCCGAAAATGAATTTTCACAAAACCAAGCTTTGTACACACAAACGTTAGAAGATAGTGCTGAGGCTTTTACAGATGGTTATATAGGCGCCGAAGTGCTATTCACCGTTGCCTGGGGTGACGTGACTTTAAAGGTCACCCTAACAACTGCCAAAATGACCAGTCAGGCTTCTGTATTTCGCCTGGGAAAGTATTTTTCCATAAAATAAAGGGTGTAATTGGTTATCTCATCAGTTGTTACGGCACGTTAAGGTAATCCGACAGGCTTATGCTATCCAAACAAACCTAGTCTAAGGGCGGTTATCAGCAAGGTGTTTTGAAGGCTTTCATTCCATGGTAACTTCTTTTTAGAATATTGGACAACAAGTAGATTGTAAAGGCCACTGCCAAAAATTGACCTAGTTCATTTGGCTGGGATTGCAACTATCCAACCAGTAAAATCAAGTTCAAAAATACTTTTCCCTACATTTGTTGAATTTAAGGTCGAAAGTAGCTGCACTTTCCAGAGTAGACTTATGATTTCAAGCTTTTTTAAATATAATTTTTTTATTACATTTAATTATTTCAAGCGCATATCTACCCAAACGAATGCTCTCACTTCAAAAATTAACTGTCTTCACCTCCTCCCACACAGACATAAACACACTTCCTGCTCGCCAGGCAACGGGAAACTTTAAAGACCGCCCTAGCACCCTAGCAGCAACTGAAATAACCAGTCAAACCTCTGTATTTTATGAAAATCTGTTTTGCCTGCCGAAATGAAGAAGCTTAATTGGTTGTTTCGATCGTTGCTGGGGTAACCTTCAAAATCGCCCGAAATAACCAATCAGGTTGCAAATATTTTGGATTAAAGGCAGTTTTTCATAAAATAAGAGACGTAATTGGTTAGTCATGGTTGCTAGACTGGCCTTTAAAGCCAGTCAAAGATTCAATTCTTCTTGCAGTAAATTCACTGACATAGGATCCAACCAGTACTTTCTAAGATCATGTGATATCATGATATCTCAAATCAGAATTTGCACCAAATTTAGCCCAAGGTTATAACGAAGATTCGGTTATTCACAAATCATCACGTCATGGTAAACTCCATTGCCATCTTTAAATTGTGATTGGTCGGTAAATTTATTTGACTAAACACACCCACGCATTTAAGATGTGTATCTTTAAACGGGGAAAAATGAATAGCACTTTAGGACTCAGTCAGATTAGTGGATTATGTTTGGTAGGGTTTCTTTTACTGAACTCTCAATAAATGGTAAGTCTTTTGCAATGAATTTTCGTTAAACGCATGAAGTGTGTACTTTTTTGCAACAATTTTAGCTAAAATATGGCACAGGAATCTAATGCTACTGATTTTTCCGTTTTATCGAATTCGATGACGTGAAGCTGTACAACAGTCTAACTTTCTAAAGGGACCTATGGCTTTTCTTTTGGTTAGGCTCAGCAACTCTTTATGTGTTTGGTCTATATCATACATATTCCAGCAAATGTGTCCGTTGGACATCGAGCTCTGTTGTTTCAGCGTAATGTTTTAGTAATTTTAATTGCCTTTTCCTGCGTACCAGCTACATTAGTCCAGTTATTTTTGGTCGTTGCTTAAGGTTTGTCCTTATACTACAAGAAATGATGACTAGCTTACTAGGTTGACTGGATGTCAAAGTTGTCTGACGTTTAACAGACATGTATGCTATTCATTTATATTATCAACGTATTCGTTCCTCAACCTGAGTGCAGCATGGAGTATGAGGGCACCTATCGGCATCAACTTATTTAGTAGGGTTCAGGAAGATCATGATTAAGCAATCTCTTGCTGCTGAGACCTGAATTATTCAAGTGCGAACTCATTTTTCCTAGGCTTTGTGATTAATAGTCTTCAGTAATTTTCAAAATAACGTCAAAAAAGAGATTTTTTGTGCTGTGTAGAATAGACAATGAATTTAATTTCTTTGGTAAGATAGCTTTCACTGTAGTTCAACAAATAATATCAACCATGTAAAAGGTGCAGCGCAATCGTACACATGCTGGCGTGGTGGACTGATCACTAGACGCGGGTGCGCCGAACATAGATGCTGTAAATGATGTCACTTTATGCCGCATAAATCTTCCTTCCCACTGTATTTACTTTTCAGATGGAGGGAAATGGCTGTAATTACAGGTTCATTTGTCAGTTTTTGAATGATACTCAGTCGGTTTAAATCAAGAACACTGGTTATTTACTTAGTGAGTATTAGTGGCTAAGATTCTGTCTTAATCGTAGACCGCATTATGTCATTAGGTGGATGATGATGAGTTCACAGTTGATTTCGTAGTATGATGATGATTAGTGAAGGACGAAGGTTATTTGTTCGAATGAATAGTGGTTTATTGTGACATAAACTGGTTACGACTTATTCACTAGCACTAAATAAGTGAATTCAACTAACTGATGGTTAGCGTCTTAAATTAAGTTCTTGGCGTTCAGTCCTTCTAAGGAGATTGCGAGAAGATGGTGGTGGGCAAACATAAAGGAGGTCGCACTGCCACTGATGAATCTGAAGGGAAATATCTTATTTTCATCAGTGACAAGCCATGCTACTGAGATTCATTTGTAATTTTTGAATTACACTTCAGGGGGTGATTATCACCCTACCAGACTAAGAAATTTGTGCCAAAAATGAAGTAGGGATCTCAAGAGTTTAAAGGTTGAAGTAAGAAAGTTACAGGTATTTAATTTAAGTTACTGCTGGAACAATGCTTGTTTTGTTACCAATGGTTAGATTCTATAAGGTTCTGGATAAAGTTTGATCAGATGATGAGACTGGTAGTATTGAATGACTATGGTGGTCATAACATGTCCAGATGTATAATACTGGCCACCGTAGGATTAGGTTAAAGCAAAGCCAAGAATGACCTGTAAATATAGCGTCTCTTGTGGTTATTGACACTTGGTGTGTGTTGTAAAGAGATGTCTGCTTGGATATCATGGTGATAGTAATCAAAAGTTGATGACTTTTATTCGTCATCTTAGTGATGCAAGTCTATTTGATTTTTACTTCTAAAGCTCTTGAACATCTTGTTACTTTCCTTGTACTTATCCCATGCATACGCTCAGTAGTCATTAGTTTCCCATCAGAAACCTTTTCACTGTATCCGAGCTGGGATTTCGTGAGAAACCAACTTGTTTGCGCTGATACAACTCCGCAAGTGATTGCAGTGGTTGACACATTCAACCGTTTCAATCCTTATCCTTAAACTAGAAGTAAGGTGCAGACCAGTCCTGGCACATCATCCTACATTTGATAGGTACGAAATGCATGCCAAACATATTCAGATTTCGGCTGAAGACGTTCAAAAGACCTCGAATTTCTCCAGTCTAGCAGGACAAAGTCGTTTGCGTTCTTCAAGTGGACCAGATGACGTCCAGGTAGTAGATCAGTCTCTGTCATATCAGAGGTACCTAAGGTTATGGTCGCAAGTAAATCGATACGAAAACTAAACAGCAATAGTGACAGTGGGTATCCCTGATAGACACCACTAGTCGTCAATTCAGATGACAACTCTCTATAAGCCCATTCACACTTGCATGAGTTAAAGTAGAGAGCTTTGATTAACGTTACACACACCTTTACCTACTTTGACATCAGTCTTTTTCTATTCACTTGTTCTTTTATGCTTCTGTCAAGCAAGGAAACTACCCGATGCATGTGTGCGAGGTTCCACGTTGATTCTGTTTCTCTGACTTGCTCAGTACTTCTTTCATGGTCAGACACTATCACATCGCCTGTCAGTTGACAGAGTTGAATGTCGCCTTCAGGTCAAAAAATATGTCAAGTATCGGCCACTGGTGACTATACTTCTTTTCCAGAACCTGTCGAAGGGTAAAAATCTGGTCGATGAATTCTCATCCAGATCTGAAACCTGCCTAGTTTCCTCGAATTTATTGTTCTTGAACTCCAGTTGGGCGTCGGATAACCATAAACTTAAAGATCTTTGACACGATACTAATCGAACTGATTCCTCTGTGGTTATCATTAATAGACATCTTTATTTTCTTATAGACTGGGATGATCGATAAATTAGACCAGTCTGAAAGGATTAGCTCTGATTCTAGTATGATGCATAGTACTTCCGCCACTCTAACTGGGAATTTCCTATCTCCATACGTAAAAATGTTGAGTAGCGAGCCGTCGGGTCCTTTTACTTTTCATCGTTTCATGTTTAAGCTAGGCTTCTCAACTTCGGTGAATGTTGGAGGACCGTCATGCGCGTCTCATTCAGGTTTGGGAAAGGATACTGGACAACTTAAGCGCTGCTTTAGGCCACTTGAACTGTGCTTGGATGTTCTGTCGAACGTCCTGGCTGCATATTCTGGTCGGTTATCTAGGTCCTATCTTTTTCGGTGATGGCTTCACTGACCGTCATCGTTCTGTCTGTATGCTTAATGAGCCTAAATAGTTGTCAGGTATTACCCAATGCTGATGCCTTCTCCATTTCTTTCGTTTTCGCCACCCACCACTGCTAGCGATCGTTGCAGTGACTTTTGGTCAATTTACGCTTAAGTTGCTTTCATTCTTCATCGTGCTCTGAGTCAGCTGAAATCAGTCTTCTCATATAAGTCAATTCAGATGACGTTGGAGAAATCCAGTGACTTTTGGTAACTTCTGGGTGTTAAATCACCAAATTTCTTCGTCGCCGTTTATACAGCAGGCTGAACATCACGCCAGGTTTCCTCAGGATGAGCATTGCTATGGCATTCAGTTAAGTGCTTACTTATCTCCTTCCGAATTACTTGCTTGATGTTTTCATTTTTCCTTCGAGCAACCACTAGTTTTGACACCTTTATTCTAAAGACAGTGAGGCGCAAATATACACGAGCATGTACTAACATGTGATCGAAGTCCAAACGGGTACTCTCTAGAATGAGTGGCAATACTTTATCGATCCTCTTCAACGATGGCTTATAACAATGTGGTCTGTCTGTATCCATCGTTGGTTTGATTTCGGGGAACACCATGTGAGATGGTATCTCTCCTTATCCTTCAAGTTAGTGTTGGCCAGAAACAAGGGATTGTGAGAAAATAATTTCAATAGACGATCACAGTTGTCGGGTGGTTGGCATGGGATTCTGTAAATACCTTCCAAATGACTCTCCGATTGGCTCAGCTTCCCTACTTGAGCATAAAAGTCATCTGCTATTGCAACTATACGTGAACGTTTTGCTTTCTGTGGTAAAATTGACAACTTTTCATAAAATTCATCTTTGCATCATCTGAACTGCAGCCGGTGGGTGCCTAGGCGTAAATACGAATAGGCATCGACTAGTCTCACGATGCTTCCTAGTCCTTATAAATCCATTCAGTCTAATAACACATAGATGGCTGTTGACTGGTAGCTCACTTTCTGCCCTACAGATCAGTACTATGCCTACACCAACGAGTTCACGTAAGCTAGCCACTGGGTCTCGTGAGGCGAATTTTGAAGATTCACTACTATGGCCAGGTGCGGTCAATTTAATAACCACAGTCGGGCCCTGTATATGTGTCTCAGAGACAGCATTCATCCAGGGCTAGAGATTCTTGGGTTCTGGCAAGCGGTACTTTCTGTCCGATTCGGTATAGAGTTTGGACGTTGAAGGCTCAAAAGCGAAATCGATGGCGAGGTCTTAGGAGACTAGGAATGAGGTTCCGATGGCTTCGATCATTGACAATGGTTTCAGAGTGAAAGGTTTGGGAAGGTATACGAGGTTTAATATTGACACCATGAACTGAAGGTGAAGGGAGAAGACAAAGTTGAGGAGGATATGTCAGATGTTTGGGTTTTGTTTGCTACTGGGAGCGTGCTGGCGGTTGACACTTCCCGGCTGCCATCATCACGGAAATTGCTTTTGAAGAGTACCTGGAAGAGTAAAAGACTTGTGTGACTGCACAGTTAATGGGACATCCTGAGGACTGTCACGCGCAGCCTTCTGAGTATTATTGGTTTGCAGTTTGGTTGTCCTAACGCCTGATAGAGAAAACCGTACTGCCGGCGGGGTGGAGTATGCAATTTTTGAGGCTAACATTCCCCCCGCTCCACCCCACCTATTTCCGCTGGGAATGCAGCAACGGAATAGTGCTATTGGTAATTCGTAGGAAACACCTTCCTGATGTTACACCCGATCAAGCCAGCAGTGTGACCTCGAGCTCTGACCCCATCATAGCGATATAATTTACGCTACAACGGTAACCAAATAAACTAACCACCGTTTAAGAGAATCAGAATAACCGATAGTTTCGT